CAAAAGACTCAAGCTACTAAAGCTCACTTAATAATAGATAATCAGAATAGCCCCATATTAAAGGAATTGAATTCATATTTAAAAACCTTTTTACAAAGAAAACTCTAGGCGAATTCCACTGGTGAATTCTGCCCAACATTTAAGGAAGAAATAATATCCATTCTACCCAAACTCTTCCAGAAAATAAAAGAGGAGGGCACCCTTTCCAATTTATTTATGAGACCATCATAACTAAGCCTGACAAAGGCTTTATAAGAAAGGAAAACTATAGTCCATAACATCATGAACCTATTTTTAGCAAATTGGATCCCCCTCCCAAATATATAAAAAGGATAATATCTTGTGAAAATGTATTTATTCCAGGAAGGCAAGGTCGGTTTAACATTAGAAAATCAATGTAATTCACCATATTAACAGACTAGAAAAGAAAACTTAAATTATCTTCAGAATAGATTCAGAAAAATGGCACCCTGCAGCTGCTGAGTCTCTATTTTTATAAAGTTCACATTTACATTTATAAAATTGACAATATGATGGTCCATAAAGCAAGACTCAGTGAATTTCAGAAGATTTAAATCATATGCAGTTTATTTTTAACTACTGTGGAATTAATGTAGAAAACAATAATTTAAAAACATAATCAGAAAATTCCTAGAAATTTAGAAATAAATTTCTAAATAGCCTGTGTATCAAAGAAGATCTCACAATGGAAATTATGAAAAATTTTCAACTACATGATAATGAAAATATAACATCAAAACTTGTGGAATGTAGCTAAGCTATGTTTAGAAGGAAATTTATAGCCTTAAATGCATTTATTAAAAGGAAGAAAGGCTAAAAATCAACTAGTTAAGCATTCACATCTCAAGAAATTACCAGCAGAATAGTAAACTAAACCCAAGTAGAGAAGGAAGGAATAATAAAAGCAGGTAATTGAACTAGAAACAATAAAATAGAGAAGATCAAGAAAGTAAAAATAGTTATTAAAAAACTAATAAATTTTGATAAACCCTTGGCAAAACAGAGAGAAGGAACAAATAACCATTTGTAAAAGGGAACTCTACATATCCTACAGATATTTAGAAGGTCTTAAGGGGATATTATGAAAACTTTACTGTGATAAATATGAAAATGTAGATGAACATATTAAAAATACAATATCAAAACTGACAGCAGACAAAAGAGATGAAAATTTGATTAGTATTAATAACTAATAATACATTTCTCCTAGAGAAAACTTCAGTGATGAATTTTACCTAATACTTGAGGAAATAAAGCCAATATTAAATTCTTTTAAATAATAAAGAAGAGGAATAATTTTCATTTTGTTTCATGAGACCAGCATAGCTCTAATTTCATAATTAGACATTATAATGTCTGACAAAGACATTATAAGACAGAAAAATTGTAGACTAATTTTCTTTATGATGTAAAAATCCTAGACAAAATCTTAGCACATTGCATACATTAATATCCTTATAAAAAGGATAATACAGAATGACTAAATTGGGTTTATTCCAAGGATTCAAGTTTGTTTTAGCATCTGAAAAATCAATTCATCTAATTTACCATATCAATAACTAGAGCAAAATCAGGATTATCTCAACAGCTGCAGTGAAAGCATTTTGCATTTGATAATATTCACTATACATTTGAGATTAAAAAAACACACACCTCTTAGCAAACTGGGAATAGAAGAGAACTTCTTTGATCTAATACAATAACTCTACAAAAATCTCTGCAACAAACATCAGAGTTAATGGCGAAATGTTGAAAATTTTCCTTCTGAGTCTGGGAACAAGACAAAGATGCCACTATCACTACTACTATTTAACATTGTACTGGAGGTCCTAGTTGGTGAAATATGACAAGAAAAAAATAAAATAGGAATTGAAAGGGAAAAATTGTCATAATTCACAGACAATTTAATTGTATACACAGAAAAGCCAAAACAACCTGCAGATAAATTATTAGACTTAAATGAGGTTGCTGGATACAAGATTAATATACACATATGAATTGTTTTTCTGCATACAAATAAACACAAACAAATTTTAATAACATATAGTTTACAATAGCAGAAAAGTATTAAATACCTAGGATCATACCTAATGAAGTAAGATCTCTAAACAGAAAATTATATAGAATTACTGTAAATTATTAAAGATTATCTGAATAAACAGAGGATGTACTGTGGTTATGGATTAGAAGAATCAATTTTGTAAAGATGTTGATTCTTGCTCAATTGATCTATAGGTTCAATGTAATGCCAATAGAATTCTAATAGGTTTGTGGAAGTTGAGACAGTAATCCTAAAATTTATATGGAAATGCAAAGGGCAAAAGTAGCTGAATATTGAAGAACAACAAATGGGGAAATTTGTTTGATCAAATACTAAGACTTAAAAACAACAGCAAGCCCTAGCTGGTTTGCCTCAGTGGTTAGAGTGCTGGCCTCAGTGGTTAGAGTGCTGGGTTCGATTCCGGCCAAGGGTATGTACCGTACCTCAGTTGCAGGCTCAGTCCCTGGCCCCGGTCAGTTGAGTGCAGGGGGCAACCAATCAATGTGTCTCTCTCATATCAGTGTTTCTCTCTCTCTTCCCCCCTTCCACTGTCTCTGAAAAGCAATGGAAAAAATATCTTTGGGTGAGGATAAAAATATTAATAATAATAATAAAATAAGTAAGTAAAAACCATAGCAAATGAGGATTGTGATGGAAAAATAAACCAGCTCAGCAGAATAGAGTCCAAACAGACCTGTGCATACATTGACACTTGAATTTTGACAAGGATTTTCTCCTTTATCTTTTTCTAAAAGTTTTATGTATTTAACCTCCATTTGTTTTTATCTATTTTGAAACAACTTTTGTATATGGTGCCAGAAATGGAACAGTTTGTTGGTTTGCATATGGAGATAATCATGTGTTGAAAATATCCTTTTCCTGTTGAATTCTTTGATACCTTGGTTGAAAATCCTTGTCAAAATTCAAGTGTGTGGGATTATATCTGGATTATTTATTCTTTTTCACTGATATATATTTTTCTTTCTACTAGTTCCACACTGTTGACTACTGTAGCTTTATAATAAATCTTGAAATCAGGTAATGTTAGTCCTCTAATATCATTCTTTTTCAAAGTTGTTTTCTTTGCATTTCCATATAAATCTTATAATCAGTTTGTCAGTTTCTACCAAGAAGCTTGCTGGAATTTTGATTGGGATTGAATTGGCATCTTAAAACAATGTTGAGTCTCTTGATCCATGAGCATGGTCTATCTCTCCATTTACTTTGCTCTTTAACTTCTCTCAGCAGTGTTTTATAGTTTTCAGTGTACAGTTCTTGTACATTTTGTGTCAGATTTCTTTCTAAGCATTTAATGTTTTTTTATATGATTATAAATGATATTTCAAAATTTTCAATTTCTGATTATTTGTTGCTAATACATAGAAATCCAATTGATTTATATATATTAACCATGTATTCTTCAACCTTCTCCATCCAGATGACTCCTCCATTGTGAAACTCTCCCCAGTTCCCTCGACTTCTCCCTATTCTTCCTCTCGAGTATCATGTATAGGTCTTTATTTATTTATTTGTTTGTTTGTTTGTTTATTTATTTTTTTAATCATTGATACTGTTACAGATGTCCCCCATTTCACGTGCAGGTCTTTCTCTTAGCGTCTAGCTGATTGGATTGGTGCCATTTGTTTATGTGTCTGCCTCCCCCCAGACTGGAAGCTCCTTGAAGCTGGGAGGGGACCCTATTTAATACTTGTGTCCACTAGGGTCCAGCCCAAGGTCTGGCACACAGTAGACATTGAGTGAGTGTCTATGAGGGAAGAATGGATAGATGGGCATGGATGGGTGGGTGGAGAGGGAGGAAGGGACAGAGGGATGGATGGGGAGGGATGGATGAAGAGGAAGATAGGGATGGATGGAGAGGGAAAGATAGACACATCAATGGATGGTGAATTGTACTTGTATTTGTAACAGCAAGTGCTCATACAGAAACTAAACCAGCTTATTTTTCTTTCTGAATCTATTGAACTTTCTGCATGCCACAGTGGTCTGCATACTGAATGTCACTACTAGGCCATAGTCTTCATAAACAACATTATCAGGTACTTACTGCATTCCAGGCATTGGGCCATGCTCCTTGCAGGCACACTCTCATTAAGCATGTCACATACCTCATCTCTCTCCTCCCCACCATGTTAATAAAATTTTAGCCACTCTGACCTTGTTGTTTTCAAATACATTAAACATACTGCCTCTTGGGGCTTTTGCACTTGCATCTCCTCTAGTTGGAACACTCTTTCCTCAGATAACCACCTGGCTTGTTCCCTCACCTTCTTTAAGCCTCTGCTCAAGTGTTGCCTCTTTGGCCCTGTTGATGTGGCATGGTTGGATGGGTGTTATCCCATGCACCAAGAGGCCACCAGTTTGATTCCCATTTGGGGCACATGCCCAGGCTGTGGGCTCGATTCCCACATGCAAGAGGCAGCTGATAGATGTTTCTATCTCTCTCTCCCCCCTTCTTCTCTCTAAAATCAATAAAAAAACATTAAAAAAAGTCACTTCCTCAGTAAAGCCTTCCCTCACTGCCCTATCTAAAACGCAACCCCACCATTCTCTATCCCTCTTACCTTATTTTCTCCATTTAACATAGCAGGCTCATCCTCCAAAGTCATGGCATATTCCTCCCAACCTCATTTTATTATCTCTGCCATATTCTAGGAAAGCACCATGTTTGGTTAGTAATAATATCACATTTACGGAGCACTTACTATGTGCCAAGCAGATTGCTAAATGCTTTATATAGATTAATTGACTTATTCCATACCCCACCCCTATGAGGTAGGTGCCTTTTCAGTTCCTTGCCCACATCTCCTTAATGCTAACTCAGCATCCTGCCCCTGTGGTCCTGCTGCTATGGATGAGGAACACCACAGTGGGACTGTGTGTGAATCTGCCCGATTACCTGTGCTTTTCTTCTGTTTAGTTTTGTAGGCGATGTTGACAGGCTTCTGCACATCCAGATAGAAGACACCCTGGAAGCCAACATTTCCCCCTTTCTGCGCCACCTCTGTCACTTCATTGGTAAGGAGCATTCTCTAATCAGGCAGCAACTGGCCTATGCCCAGGGGGCACAGGGACCGTGGCACCTGGTCCACATGCCTATTCCTGATTGTGACTCTCGGTGCTCAGGAGAGAAAGGGTAGCACATGCCCAGCCAGGTGTGGATAATCCCAGGACAAGCCCGCCTCTCTGGGTCCCTCAACAATATGGACAGCCACGTGTTTACCTCCGGGGCAGTGGAGCCAAATAAGAGCTCGAGACTGGATCAGACACCCTATATTCTAGCCTTGGCTGTACTGGTAGCCCCTTTTGGGCCTGGCCTCACTGCCTCTTTTGGACTGTCCAGTGAGGGTGTTGGCCCACGATGTACTGCATATGTTCATGGAGGCCTGCTCTGGGCTGTGCTCTGGTGACACAAAGGTGACGCTCACTCTGTTACTGCCCTTTTGTCTGATCAGCAAGGTAGGGTGGAAGGAAGACTCCAGAGTTTCTGACTTCCCTGATTTTCAGTGTGTATGTCCAGTGCCTCTCCGTCCTCCCATCGCACACAGCAGTGCCCAACAGTGACTTCCCTCATTGAAGGTGGATTTTTCAGTCATTCCCAGGGCTCAGAATTGCCAAAGTTGAGTAAGATCCCTGGAGTGTGTGAGGTTGAGTCAGGTCAGAGGCCCCACCCCAGGACTGCCCACTTGGCACCAACTCAGCCTCCAGGCTGAGTGGCTGCACAGGGGGCCAGAGAATGGCATTTTGGCTCAAACATCTCTTATTTTCCCAGGATGTTGCAACTATCACTGAACTAGGAGCTGAGACTAAGACTTGCCACATGTCCCACCATAGTATGGCTGAGCTCTATTGCACAAAGAGTCCCCCTCTCCAGTCCCAGAGCTGGGTAGCTCTGGGCCAGTCCTTAACTGTTTGGTACCTCAGTTTCCTTATCCATATGATGAGTCAGTTGGCTTTAATCATCTCTGAGTCTCGCTCCAGCACTTGGAATGGTTATCTACAGTTCTTTGGGGTTAGGTGTTACCAAACCATCCTAGGATGCCAGCTTAGATTTCCTCCCTACCCCTCACTGGGTGAGACATACACACAGACTCAGCATCATTTTTAAGTATGCTTACAGCTGACATTTCTGTGCCAGGCACTGGGCTAAGCACAGCACAAAACCTTATGAGGTAGGCAGACTACTGTTATTCTATTTTCCAGATGAGGAAACTGTGGCTAAGAGTAACATGCCCAAGTCCCATAACCAGTGAGTGGCAGAGTCAGGATTTGCACCCAGGCTACACTGCCTCTATTAGAACCACGTGCCCTTGGGGGGATGATCCTCCCATCCCCACCCAGGGAGTCCAACTGGTAGCCTCCTCATCTGAAAGCCTGGAGGGCCAAGAAAAGGCCTTTGCATGATAATGCTGAGTGCCCACATGTGATTCTCTTGGACTGCCAGCTAGGTCTGAGAATCCCCATTTGCCAGGTGATGAAACAGTGTCCTGGAGATGTCACGTGACTTGCCTAGGCCATGGTATGCTAGTTCTGAATCCACTCTTGGACCCACTGAAGCCAGTTATCTTACAGCAACTCAGATCCACAGAGAAGGGGGCACACACACCCCACCCATGCAAATATAACCCTTCCTTCCTCTTACAGATATCCACCTTGAACTTGGCTCTGTCATCCTGGTATTTTCCACCTTGGGCATCAGTCGCTGCTGTGCAGCCATGTTGGCCTACCTCATGCACCGGAATGAGCAGACCTTGAAGGTACGCATTCCTTGGTCTAGGCTCTGACCATAGCCTCCTCCATGAGGTGGGGTCTGAGCTGCATCTGGGAGAAATGACCCTGGTACTGCCTCAGGGCCCTAATTGGAGAATAAGAGGAGGAAGGGTCAGAGAGGCATGCTCTAAGTTCAGGGCTTTACCTAGTACACCACACCCAACGGCAAGGTCCCAACTGTCTGGGCTAGAGGTCTGAGGCTGGGCACATGGGACAGGCCCAGGGACTCAGGCTGGGCAAGGCTGCAGCTGACAGTACCTTCTGTATGTCCCTCACTGCCATTAGTCTGTCCATTAGAGTTTGTTCATGGTTCTCCAAGAGAAGTGTATTTTTGCTGTTGCTTGGAGTCTTAGAATTGTAGCGCTGGCACGGCCTCAGCTGGCACCCACTCCAACAATTCTTTTACCGTTGAGGGGAGCAGGGCCCAGAGAGGAGAAGGAAGGAGGGACCCTTCACAACAAACCTAGTAGGAACTCAGGGCTTCTGACTCTCAGGGCAGTGCTTCTGCACTGCCCCCAGCCCTAGGAGATCGCAGGCCTATCCTGAGGGGAGGGAGAGCCCAGCATGACAAAGCTCATGCATGATTTCAGAGGGCTTGGGTGGGACCTGAAAAGCTCCCACATTTGTCCAGGAGTGTGCTTGAAGGAACAAAGGATGACCGTGGTCAGAGCCCATTGCCAGTGGTTTTGGCTGTTGACCCAACATGCTGTTTGTGGGTGAAATTGCAGGCCAGAAATAGTCTTGGATATTCAGCAATTCCACTCCTAGGTATACACCCAAAAGAAATGAAAGCAGGGATGCTTGTACACCTATATTCATAGCAGCACTATTCACAACAGCCAAGAGGTGGAAGCAAACCAAGTGTTTGCTTGGATGAATGGATAAATAAAATGTGGTCTGTTCATACACTGGAATATTATTCAGCCTTAAACGGGAAGAGAATTTGGACATATGCTACAACATTGAGGACATTATGCTAAGTGAAATAAGACAGTCACAGAAGACCAAATTCTGTATGATTCCACTTAAATGAGATAATTAGAGAAGTCAGATTCATAGACACAGAAAGTAGAATGGTGGATGCCAGGGGCTAGGGGCAGGGGGCCATGGGGAGTTGTTTAATGGGCATGGAGTTTTAGTTTGGGAAGATGAAAATGTTGTAGAGATAGATGCACAATATAGTGGCTGTACTTAATGCCATTGAACTGTATGTCTAAAAATGGTTAAAATGGTAAATTTGATGTTATGTGTATTTTACCACAATTAAAAAAAGAGAAGAGTCTGGATGCAGCATCAGAGGGCCTGGAGTGAGAGGCCCAGATGCCTGGGCACCCTCACCCTGGTGTCACTGTCTGCTTGAGGTGATGTTGCTAATATCTGGGGAAGGAGGCCTGTGCTGTTGCGCCAGTAGAGATGCCTCTCCAGCCCCCACCCAGTAATGGGCTCTATCCTTTGAGGGGCCTCTTCTTCACTGCCCTTTTGAGCTGGTATGGGGAGAAGGCAAAGAGCTGCCAGAAGGCAGGCCAAGCTCACCCACCTGCAGGGGGCTCAGGGAATTCTAGGACTTGAGCTCCCCTGGAGTTTGAATGGGGCCAGTCTGTGAGTATCAGCAAGCCCTGCGCTGCTGTGATCCCTGGTGTTCTCATTGCTTACAGGGAGGCTTGGGTACAAGAAGGTCTTTGGAGCCTTCCAACTTTAACATTTAGTAATGTGTCCTAACTCCGACAAGCAAATCACAGTCATCTCTCTGGCCACATCAATGCAGGTGTCACAGCTACTTCCAGAGCCAGCCAGGGTGAGAGCAAAGAGAGGAGTCCCCTCACCCACTTGGTTCCTCTAAGTTCTCCAGCAGCAAGGGCCAGGTCCCCTCAGTGATGTGGCACATGCAGGCCTGCACCTGACCTTTACTGCAGAGAGATGCACAGCTCCAGCAGTGAGGGTAAGGGCATCTGGGCATGGTTGTTCTGGTCGGTGGATAGACAGGCACTTGGGCACCTGAGGTCCAGACAATTCCGGTCTCAGGAGAAACCCTTGTTCTCCCTTCCTGGAGCAGCAATCTTCATCCCATCTGCAAAGAAGTCCTGTTGTGGGCGATTCTGTGCAGAGATGCCGTCTAGATAACTCTTGGCCACAAATGCACTGCTCCCAGAACTGTGGGCAGGAAGCACTGCTGCTGTAGCCTTGCTGGGTCCTCTCCAAACTGAGTGAGTCCTGGGGTGGTGGTTAGCTTCTCTTGCTACCAATCAAGTGGACCTGGGCTCAGCTCCGCTGCTGCCTGAGGTCTAGAGAGATGTGCGTGCCTCCCGTTGTCTGTGTGGTCCTGGGCTTCCTCCTCAGTGCATTGGGGAGGCTGTGTCCCTGGCTGCTGTCAGTTCAACTGTGGTAGTCAGAACCCACAGGACTGGCAAGAAGAGCGTGGGCCAGTCTTCAGCAGCATACAGCTTCCTGGGCTTGTGGTCCCAGCTCAGCTTCTTGGGGCACCAAGGACAAGAGTGGGAAGTTGAAGAGTGAGCTGGAAAGAACCTAGCACCCAGAGCCACTCCTGCCTGTCCTGGGCTTTCAAAGCTTTGGCGCAAGGTTGTGTGGGATCCCAGAGCCAGCAAGCCCTTAAGAAATCAATTTCAGTGCCTTTTAACTGCTGGGAGTAGCTTTGGCCCTTAAAGATCTTCAGAGAAAAACAAAAACCAAGTCCTGAGGCACTATAATAGCTTACATTGGCAGAGTCTTCCCCCACGCAAGGCTATTTTAAGTACTTTATGTGTAATGAAAACACAATGACCCCATGGCCTGTTATTACCCCCATTTTGCAGGAGGCATATAGAGGCTGGGTATGCCCCACAGCTCTAAGTGGCAGAGCTGGAATTCAAAGCCAGCTGGAGAATCTGGGCTTTTTTTTTTTTTTAATCCTCACCTGAGGATATGTTTTATTAATTTTTAGAGAGAGAGAAACATTGAGTGTATGCCCAGACTGGGTATCGAACCCGCTACCTATGTGCCCTGACTGAGAATTGAACCCACAACCTTTTGGAGTATGGGATGATGCTCCAACCAACTGAGCCATCCAGCCAGGGTGGGAATCTAGGCTTTTAATAAGCCACCGAGATGACAGGGAGGGCACTGGCCTTGCAGTCTAAAGAATAGTGCACTGCTCCTTACCAAGAGCTACCTGGACATGCCCCTTCACCTTTCTGTCCCCTTGGTAGACAGAATAAGGCCTGTCTTTCCAGCTTGCTGCATTTGCTGTGAGGCTCAGCAGATACATCGTGAGCTGGAAACAGAGTGTGTTGGTGGGTGTGGGGAGCTGTGGTTATGGTTGGTCCTCAAGGGCCTGTTCTGACTCGGTCAGGACTTTAACTGCACAGCTCTGACCCTGGTATCACTGTGTTTTATTTTTAAGTTGTGACAAAACATAGGTAACACAAAATTTACCATTTTAACATGTTCAAGTGTACAGTTAAGGAGTGTTAAGTATATTCACATTGTTGTGCAACCTATCCCCAGAACTTTTTCATCCTACAACACTGAAACTCTATACCCACTAAACAATAATCCCCCATTCCTCTTTCCCCCCAGCCCCTGGCAACCACCATTCTTCTTTGTCTCTATTTTGACTATTCTAGGTACCCCATATAAATGGAGTCATACAATATTTGTCCTTTCGTGACTGGCTCGTTTTACTTAGCATAATGTCTTTAGGGTTCATCCATGTTGTAGCATATATCAGAATTTCCTTTTTGTTAAAGATTAAATAATATTCTATGGTATGTAGAATTCACCAGTGAACCTATCTGGGCCTGGTGTTTTCTGTTGTGGAAGATTTTTTTTTTTTTTATTGATTCAACTTCTTTAGTAGATACATAGAGTTGTTCAGGTTGTTTGGGTTTTGGTAGATTGTGCCTTTCAAGGAATTGGTCTATTTCATCTAGACTGTATGTGAGCATAGAGCTGTTCATAGTATTCTTTTATTATCCTTTTCATGTCCATGGGATCTGTATTGATTCCCCCTTTTTTATTTCTGATATTAGTTATTTGTATCTCCTCTCTTTTCTTAGTTAGCCTGGCAAAGGTCTATTGATTTTATTGATCTTTTCTAAGAACCAGCTTTTGGTTTTATTGAATTTCTCTGTTGATTTCTTATTTTCAATTTTATTGATTTCTGCTCCAATTTTTATTATTTCTTTTGCTTACTTTGGATTTAATTTATTCTTGTATTTTTAGTTTCCTAAGATGGAAACTTAGACTATAGATTTAGATGAACATTCATCTTGGTGAATGTTCCATGTGAGCTTGAGAAGAATGTGTATAGTGTATTATGTTGTTGATTGAAGTATTCTATAGATATCAATTATATCCAGTTAATTAATGGTGTTATTGTGTTCTACTATAGCCTTACTGATTTTCTGCATGTTAGATCTGTCCATTACTGACAGAGAGGTAATGAATTCTCCAACTGTAATAGTGGATTCATCTATTTCTCCTTGTAGTTCTATCAGTTTTTGCCTCACATATATTGATGCTGTGCTAGGTGCATACCATTGCAGGTGTAAGCCACATTTTGTTTATCTATTCATCTGTTGATGGACACTTGGGTTACTTTCAAACCTTTTGTTTACTGTGAACAATATAATTCCATTGTACATACAGTTGACCCCTGAACAACATGGGTTTGAACTCTGTGAATAAGTGGACCCCAGTAGTTCAAACCCATATTCTTCAAGGATCAACTGTATATTCCATCTGCAGTTGGGGATCCGTGTATGTGGAGGGTCAACTTAACTTATATGTGGATTTTCAACTGTAGATTGACCTCCTAACCCTCGCATTGTTCAAGGGTCAATTGTATACACCATATTTGTTTATCCATTCATCTGTTGATGGACATTTGGGTTTCTTTCACTTTTGCACTATTTTGAATAATGCTGCTATGGACATGGGTGTGCAGATATCTCTTTGAGACCCTGCTTGTCACTTTCCTACCTGTAATAACCATTTCTACATTTTAGGGAAGATGCCTGAAAGAAGGCAGCTTTGATTTTCCTTCTCTAGAAAATTTGTCCACAGTTCTCTTCCCCTTTCCATTAATTTATCCACTCACAATGCAAACCTTTGTTGAGGCTGCAATGTGTGCCAGGCATGGTCATGGTGCTTTCTTGCTCATGAGAGGTTTCATGTATGTTATCTCAACCTTCACAGAAGCCTCTGAAATAAGAATGATTCCTGTCTCTATATTCAGCAACAGAGAAGCAGAGGGGCTTGCCCAAGGCAGAGCCAGCTCCTGTGACTCCTTTGCCTAATGTATTAACCCCTGCTATGTGTGTCCAGCCCTTAAGCCATGTTGCTGGCCCATGGGCAAATGCCTCCTGTCCCTCCTGAGCTGGCTGTGATCTAAGTGGAAAGGGCCCAGGTCCAACTCTGAAGTCTTTCTCTCCTTACATTTACAGAGGTCTTGGGCCTTCGTCAAGAAGTGCAAAAACAACATGCGTCCAAATCGGGCCTTGGTGGCTCAGCTGTCAGATTGGGAGTCAATTGTTCTCGGAGACTTTGCCACAGATATCACAGCTGTTCTCAGAGACTTTTCCACAGTTATCTCGGATCCACATTACTGATCTTTGTGGCCCAGCTATGGGTCCTAAAGAACTTTGCTTGGGAGTTTCTTGTGGGTAGTGGGTCAGGATGTGTAACCAGGTTGGTGTGAAAGAAAGCCTTTGCTACCTGGAACCTCGTTAGCTTCCTGCATTGGCTCTTCCCAAGCTCCTCATTCACACCACATAGCAGGTGCACTCTGCTCAAACTCAGTGAGCACTCCCATCCCTGGGTCATCCTGGACCACCTCCACTACACTCCTGAGGCTGCCTCTGGAAGAGCATCTAGCTGCCAGAGCAGCTGCCTCATATGCTCCCCATGACTTGGACCCTTTGAAGGTTGCCTGGGGGGAGCTCCTGGGGTCTCCTCTGTCAGTGTTGGATCATAGGGTGTGTCACAATGCCCACCCATGGGCACAGATTCCCCAGTCCTAGAGATGCCAAGCCCAGGTTCCAGGCTCCACAGCTGAGAGGCTCCTGGCACAAGGGTACACCTTTGTCTCATCCCCTGTCCCAGCATGCCCCACCACTCCACCATCACTTGTGCAAATTTCCTTTCCTTCCTCCCACTCATTTCTGCCTACCTGTGTTCACCAAGAAGAGATTCCTAGCCCTCCCATCTTCCATACCCAGTCTTCTGTAAATTCCTCAGGGCTTAAAGGGAGTTTTCTTCAAAATGCACAGTTGAGCCCTGGCAGCGCTCACAGAACAAGCCTGGAGTCAGGAGAGGGCACAGACAAGACTGATAAGGAATTTGGGATTTTCATCAATTGTTCATTCAGCAAATATTCCTTGCCACTTGGGCGGGCAGGGGACATAGAGATGAACGCCATCTCATCTCTGCAGAAGGTTGGAGGTCCCGCCTACCCCTAGCAAGCCTAAGCCCTCAAGGAGTGGGGGAAGGACTTCTCCGGGTCACGCAGGTTTTAGGATCTTAGCTGGAACACATCCTGGGATGGCTGCCAAGCGATGGCTCTGTCGTTAGGGACCACCTGGTAGGCAGGGCAGAGCCTTTGAAAAATTTTCAGCAGGGACATGGTGGCCTTGTGTTTTAGGAAGAGTAGCTGTGTGAATGGACAGTAGCCGAGAGCCTGGAGGCAGGGAGACAGTGAGGAGGCTGCGGTAAAAATCCAAGCAAGGTAAGAGGTTCAGAATGCCCTCCGCGCAGAGGCACAACTTCCCAAAAACGAAAGTGTTCAAGGCAGGCTTCACCTCTCTGGGCTTTGGTTTAACCTCCAGCACGACGGGCGAAGGCACTGCTGGCCGCACCATGCGGTTGGCACAACTAGTGAGGCCAACGTGGGGCCGCCACCGGCCCAGCCCCAGTCCAGGTCCGGAGTCGCTGGGTGAACTCAGGGTGCGCTTAGTCCCGCCCAGACTCCGCCCTGGGCCCGGATTGGCTGGTGTAGGGGCGGGGCCAACGCGGTCTCTGCTGCAGGCCCTTTTCCCATTGGTGAGCGCAGCGGCGCGAGCCCGGAAGCGGACGGGGGCGGAGGCGGTGGAGGCTGAGGCGCCTCCGCCGGCCGGGGTTGCGGCGGCGTCCTCTAGCCTCGGCACATCTGGCGCGAGGCCTGGCAGCCATGCGTCCCACGCCCCCGGGCCCGCTGGGCGACTGCCTGCGGGACTGGGAGGAGCTGCAGCAGGATTTCCAGAGCATCCAGGTGAGCGCCAATGCGGGCGCCCATTGGCCTCGAGCCCGGTCTGTTTGGCTCAGGGTCATGGGTCGGGCCGCTCTGTGTCAGGCAGCGGGGAACTCGAGGTCAGGAGTTGGGGACCCTGGCATAGTTTCCGAGGGTGGCGATGCCCCGGGTCCCGGTGTCCCAGTTGTACTCTCTTCTCGGCCTCATGTCAGTATCTGACGGAGGCACACTTCGCCCGCGCGGCCGCCGAGACCCGGGGGTACCCCACTGCGCCTGCCGGACCTAGGGCCTCCCGGGAGGGCCTCAGAAAGAGGCCCCGACCCCGACCTCGCTTTCTTACAGGAGAGTGGCCGCTTAAGTCAGAGCCGGCCGGGCCCAGTCTTGAGTCAGTCACTCGCCAAACATGCTGTGGGCGCCGGCCCGTCCGGAGCTGCAAGTAGTGCGGTCCCGCCCTCCGGGCAGCGAGGCTGGACTGAGTCCACCTGGGTGCACCCTGAGAGGCAGCCGGGCTTGGGCCAGGGGAAGTGCTGTTTAGGTGAAGTCTCTTGCCTGGATGGAGGCGGGGCCGATCCAGGGTGAAGGACAGCGTCCACGAAGACAGGCCCATGTGGCTGCTGCAAAGAGAGGGGAGAGGTGGGTGGGCCAGACCCTTCAGGGGTCCTCATGGGCCTGGCTGGGATTGGCGTCTCTGAGACCAGTGGGAAGCCACTGGAGGAATTGGCTGGCTCTGGCTTGTATGGGCCGCTGTACTGTGGGGAGTGCAGGGAGGACGAGGCCTCCTCCCGCCCGCCGGGGAGAGGTGGGGGCTGGACTAGGGCAGAGGTGGAAGGGGCTGGGTTCTGAGGGGGCGTGGTGGCCCCTCCTCAGCATGAGTAACAATACCCAGAGTGGGTAGAGCTCGAGAAAGCTGGGCTTTTGATTAGGCCTTTGCCTCTCCTGGACTGGTTCCAGTCTCTTCCTGTCCACATTGAAGCCTATCTGCCCCGTCGCCAACCATACCTGCTGCCATTAGTGCTTCTTCCTAGAGACCTGAGCAGAGCAGCTCTAGTCACCCAGCCCAGTCACCACTGTTCTGGCCTCAGCCCCTGCCTGGCTTTCCTCACATTGCCCCTTGCCCAATCTTCAGGCTGCTGCTTCTCTATACTCACCCTCCAGGACAAAGTGCTCTGGGAAGCTTTGGGCCAAAGGTACTGGGGGAGGGGTATGGGACTGGTCTTATAGTAAGAGGTCCAAGGGCTGAAGTCTGATGACCTTTAACCTGGGAGGAAGATGCTGGGAGTGCCAGAGCAGAAGGCATCTTGAACATCCTCAGCTCCCCATGTACATGTAGGCTGGATAGGCAGGAGCATCTGCGAGAGCCAGGGGTGTCTTAAGGCAGACTTCTTGTTCCAGAAGGTAGACCCGTAGGCCTAGAATCTAGGCTCAGGGTGGGACAGAGAGGGGGTGTAAACAACTAGTAGATGAGCTTAGACTGAAAAACCTTCAGGGAACTAGCCTGTTTCTGAAAGAGGGGTGTCATGGGTGCTTCTGGGCTTACAGGAAGAACCCTATCTCCTTGCCTGCCTTGAGGAGAGAGCAACCTTAGGGAGTTCCCTGGGCTAGCACAGCTGGCTACCTCATTTCCTGCTGAGACCCTTCCAAGGAGCCCTGGAAGAATCCATGCCCCGCTCTCTGCCCAGCTGGCTCTGGCTCAATGGCCCTCCAACCAGTCTGACCCTTCCCTCATCCTGGTCCTCAGGAGACCCACCGGCTATACCGCCTGAAGCTGGAGGAGCTGACCAAGCTGCAGAACAATTGTACCAGCTCTATCACTCGGCAGAAGAAGAAGCTCCAGGATCTGGCCCTCGTCCTTAAGAAGTTAGGACCACCCTCCCCATGGCCCCCCATGGCCCCTCAGCATTGGTCTGGGGATGGGTATCTGACCTGGTGGGGTAGAGGGCTGGTGCTTACTCTGGGAGTGTCCTTGGCATGGCTCTTCCCCTCTCTGAGCCATGTTAGCCCTCCTGCCCCACAGGTGTCAGTATAATACTCCTGCTCTGACTCTGGCTTCTTTGTTCCCACTTGCAGATGCAAACCTTCCCTCCCAGTAGGAGTTGAGGAGGCTTCGAAGGAGCTGGAGAACCAGATCAAGGAACGTCAAGGCCTCTTTTTCGATATGGAGGCTTATTTGCCCAAGAAGAATGGGTGAGACCCCTCCCCCAAATTCAGTTCACAGCCACTCCTGGGAGAGATGCCTGAAGTGCACTTTTCCTCTGTTTGATCATTTGGTCAGCAGATGTTCCCTGGGCCCATTCTGGGCTGAGCAGCCAGGCACCCTCAGGGGAGCAGTCTATCTCAGGGAAGACATCTGAGTAACAGTGACAGCTCACTGAGATTGGGTGCTTTGTGGTAGAATTACAGGGTACAGGGGAGTAAGGGAGGCCTCTAATCCATCCCTGGAGGTCAGTGAGAGCCTCCTGGAGTAAATAAGGCCTGAACAGAGTTATAAAGGATGAAGGAGTGAGCCAGACCAACTCAGGAAGGCAGTAACAGCAGGTGTCGGAGGTGAGAGGTCATGATGAGATCACAGGGGAGCCAGGCTGCAGAGCCCACCTTCGGCCCAGTAGGCAGGTCAGGTAAGTATGCACTTCCACAATCAAGGAGGAGGAACAAGTGCAGTGCAGAACCCTGGACTTAGTGAAAAAAAAAATCCAGCAGAGATGTCAAGTAGCTAGACAGCTGGGAGAGAGCATGTTCCAGAAGGCAAAGTAGGAAGGAGCAACCAGCAGCCTCAGATCAGATGGCCTCAGGGGTCAAATGCAGTAATGAAGGGGAAATGTTTCCTGGAAGTTAGGGTGACCTTGGAGAGAACTACTTCACAGCATGGTATGGGTGGAAGTTGATACTGGGAATGACAGAAGAGCTGAGGAAACAGCCAAGTTTAGGCTACACTTCAGAAGTTTGGCTGTGAATGGAAAGAGAAACTAGTACCTAGAATTTAGCTTGAGGGTTGGGGGTAGGGGTGGCTTTTGCTTGAGTGTATGTGTAACTTTGAACATAGGACAGACTTGAGCATATCTACCTGCTGAGAGATGAGGCCAGCAGATGGAGGAGACCCAGAAAAGGGGTACCAAGTGTTGGAAGAAAAACTCCTGGGGAGATGGAGAGGGCTGGGCATGGGCCCCTGTTGTTTGGGATGGAAGGGGGTGCAGAGATGAGGGTGACAGTGCAGGCAAGAGAGATGTCAAGTGCCAGGAAATGTTAGGAGACAGGATGGAGGGTTTGGGGAAAGAGTGTTTGTTGAGGCCACTGCTGGAATGGGATAGGGAGCCTGTGGTGGTACTGAGAGGCAGTCTGGTCCAAGTCCCCACTATGCCCTTTAATCTCTTCACAGTCTTGGGCAAGTCCCTTAACCACTCTGAGCTCATCCATATGGCTTGAATGTGAACAAGAGCCCATGTATGGGTGTAGCTGCTTAGTACACTACTGTGACTCTGGTCACCTCTTGAGGTTTCTCTGGCAGAGAAGGACAAGACAAGTTCAGCTGGTGGGTGTGATGGCAGTGCCAGGAGCTGAAAGCTACAGGTTGACAAGAAAGTAGTTGACATGTAAAGGAGGGCTTGGGGACTTAGCTGGCTCAGGAAAGAGGTTCAGGTTCAACAGGGCCTGGGAGCCTCAGTGTGGGGAGGGTCCATGTGGTGAAACAGGCTGGGAGGCTGGACACTCAAGATGCTCTGGGTTGGAAGGAGATCCTGGTTTGGTTGTGGGTTGCTGCAGTGGACTTGGGGCTGCAGGTTCTAGAAAGTAGCAGAAACTATAGGGTAGGTGATAGATGGTGATAGGTGGTGATTGAGTCTACTGCCCAGGCCCATAGGGGTGATCTGAGATGTGGGCAAGGCTTCCATGGGGTAGAAGAGCCAGGCTGCTCTTGAGGTCCCGAGGTGGGTGACAATGACAAAGGAGGGAGGGAATGTTAGTTTACCTTGGAGCAGTGTTTAGGAGTAGGCAGGAAGAAAGGCTGGGCATCAGTTTCCTGTGGAGCTGGTCTGCAGCATCCCAAGGTCAGAGCCCTAAGCCAAGGCCATTGGAAGGCTGAGTGAGCCAGATACTGGCCTGGCCCACTCAGGGCTCTGTGCCCTTTAGCTTAGCTTTCCTTTCAGTCAGGGCCTTTTCTCACCCTGTCTCTCTCCCTTCTCTAGGTTGTACCTGAGCCTGGTTCTGGGCAATGTCAATGTGACACTTCTGAGCAAGCAGGCTAAGTAATTGGTTATTGTGGGCTGGTTCTCTCTCTACCCTCCTGGGGCCTTTCCACTCTGCCCCAACTTCCCTGGCTGAGCCTTGCGGTTCAGGGGCTACTCTCCCATGCTGGCCCCATGCCACACATGCAGGTGTGCCTGGAGCAGGTGCCTCCCTCCTCAGGCAGAGGTGAGGGTGGTCCCAGCAGCATCCCTGCCTGACCCATGAGTGTGTGTGCCCACCCCAGGTTTGCCTACAAAGACGAGTATGAGAAGTTCAAGCTCTACCTCACCATCATCCTCATCCTCATCTCCTTCACCTGCCGCTTTCTCCTCAACTCCAGGTGGGTGTCCTGCTGCTCAGGGCCAGACCTTGTTTTCTCCTGGCTCCAGCACTAACCCTATGTCCCCCTCTGCAGAGTGACAGACGCCGCCTTCAACTTCCTGCTGGTCTGGTATTACTGCACCCTGACCATCCGAGAGAGCATCCTCATCAACAATGGCTCCAGGTGGGCAAGGGCCTGACCCCAGCTACTGAGGGAGTGGGGGAGGGGGCACGGGACCTACCCTAGAAAGTGGGGTGGTGGTGCCACAGCCCTCTGAGAAGCAGAAACTCGGCTGGGGTAGTGGTTTCTTCCCACCTCAGACAGCTCTCTGTCCCCAAGCACCAATCCTGGGGGCTAAGGGTTACAGGAGTGACAGCAGCTTCCTGATACAGGATCAAAGGCTGGTGGGTTTTCCATCATTATGTGTCCACATTCCTGTCGGGAGTCATGCTGACATGGTAAGTGGCCCAGCTTGGCTTCCAGGGTCTTGGGGAGGCAGGGGAGCCCAGATTGGAAGTCTTGGTATCCCCAAGCTCCCCACCCCTCCCTCTGCTTTCTGCCTTAGGCCTGATGGCCTCATGTATCAGAAGTTCCGGAACCAATTCCTGTCCTTCTCCATGTACCAGAGTGAGTGTCTCAGAGGTCCCTGTTTAGCTCAGGACTTGCCCAAGGGGAAAGGTGGGGAAAGGACTTGGGGCTCCAGCCCAGTCCTGATACCCCCCACCCCCAGGCTTTGTGCAGTTCCTCCAGTATTACTACCAGAGTGGCTGTCTGTATCGCCTTCGGGCCCTGGGTGAGAGGCACACCATGGATCTAACTGTGGGTGAGTTGGGTGTGGTCCCTCCACTGTGGATCATGACCAGGGAGCTGGGAAGGAGAAGTCCTTTCCTTTCAACCTAATTCTGAGTGATGGTGCCTCTCTCCATCACTGGTTATTCTATGTACTGCCCCTTTTCCCTCACAGAGGGCTTCCAGTCCTGGATGTGGCGGGGCCTCACCTTCCTGCTACCCTTTCTTTTCTTTGGACATGTAAGTGGTATCTGTGTCCCTATCCATCTGGCTGTGCAGCCCCTGCTCTGGCTCGAGCAGGGACTGCATTCTATGTGAAATCCCCCTCCCTCCCAGTTCTGGCAGCTTTTTAATGCGCTGACATTGTTCAGCTTGGCCCGGGATCCTGAGTGCAAGGAGTGGCAGGTGAGCCGGGGCCCCTGGAAAGAACACTGGGAGGGCCAGGGGTTTGGCCCCTGTCCTAATCCTGATTCCTCCCCCAGGTGCTTATGTGCGGCCTCCCCTTCCTCCTCCTCTTCCTTGGCAATTTCTTCACCACCTTGCGGGTTGTGCACCAGAAATTCCACAGTCAGCGGCACAGGAGCAAGAAAGATTGAGGCTGGGTCTCTGCCCACCGGCCCGGAAGGGGCTTCTGTACCCCATGTGTTGTTTGAGGGGGTGGGGACTCCCTCGTCCAGAAGGTCTTTTCTGCTCTCCCTGGGTTTTGTGGGCTCTGTGGGCCCCAAAGGTTACACTGGAGAAGACCTGGGCCTGTGTCCTAGCCTGTGGGGAGCTGGGGGCCAGTGGCCTCAATAAAGGAATAGAGGCACAGAGGTGGCTCAAGGTGTGTGGTCTCCTGAGGGTAAGGCAGGGGCCTGGTGGTGCTCTGTCCTGCCACAGCACAGGTTCTTGGGGCTCCTGAGTTGGTCTCTCTGGTGTCTCAGTTAAGTAGACCCAGGTGGAGGCCCGAGATCTGTTTGAGGAACTTCAGGCAAATACAGAAAACAACTTTATTCCAAGAGCCAGAGGTTATTTAAAATTATTTACATTCATTGAAAATCACGTGGAGGGGCCAAGCCCCCTGCTCAGATGAGAGAAGATCCCCTTCTGTACAGCCACTGGAGGCCTGAGATGTTCACAAAGTGAGGGCCTGGTCACCCTGGGCCATGTGTCCTGTGGCCAGGGGGCTCTGGAGGGCACATCTTGGGCCAAGTGCAGTCTTTGTCACAGTCTGCATCCTGGGATGGCCCAGCAGAACCCATCCAGGAAACTGGCAGAAGGGGAGGAAAGTGATTATTACATGGGGAAGCAAGTCTATAGGGCATGAGGGCAGAGCAGGGCTTCTAGCTCCACACATCCAGGGAATATCGGCCCTTGGTCATCAGTTTCTTGATGTAGTCCACGGCCTGGGTGTGCTCCATGGGCCCCAGCTCAGACACGATGTCGTAGAAGGTGTTCTGCACGTCCCTCGCCATGTTCCGAGCATCCCTGTGGGGAGGAAGAAGGTGGTACTGGGGGCTGGGCAAGGAGTGTCCCCATGGGCAGACAGAGGCTCACCCCTCCCACTCCTCTGCCCTTGCTCACCCACAGACGTAGATGTGGGCGCCCCCTTCATGGATCAGCTTCCACAGGTGCTCCTTGTCCCTCTTCAGTAAGTGCTGGACATAGACCTGAGGGCAGAGGGTGGTGCTGGTGAGGAGGCCAGTCTCGAAGCCCTCCACCCTGCCAGAGCCACCTGCCCCTTCCTTACCTTGTGGGACTGCTCCCGGGAAAATGCCACATTGAGCTGGGTGAGGGAGCCCTCTTTGTGGAACTGGGCCAGCTCCTCACGGTACAGGTAGTCCTCGTCAGAGCGGCGGCAGCCATAGTAGAGCAGCGTCTCACCTACCTCCTTACCTGGTGGGAGAGTGGCCAGGGTGAGTGTGGAACCTGTCCCTTCCCTGCCCCTTCCCCACTCCCCCCACACCCACCTGGGCCCACACATTTACCCTGCTGCTGTAGCCAGGCCCGTTCCTGAATGAAGCCTATGAAGGGGGCGACCCCAGTGCCGGGGCCCACCATGATGACAGGTGTGGTGGCCTTGAAGGGCAGGCGGAACTGGGACTTGCGTACAAACATGGGTACCAGGGCCCGTCGGCCGTTCTCCCCTGTTGGCTCCTTGGCCCGAAGCCAGCTGGTGGCCACACCCTTGTTGATTCGGCCAGACTTGGTTTCATATTCCACAGCCACGGCACAGATATGCACAGAGTTGGGGTGGACCTGGTGGAGGGCAGGAGAGCTTAGCAGTGGTGCCCGAGGTGCCTTCCTGCCACCAGCCATCACATGAACTGCCTTGGCACGGAGTTCCTGCTCAGGGCTTCTTCATACCCCTCATGGTGCCCAACCCTCAAAAGCTCCTTTTCAGCAGCGTGCAATCTTACAGCCAGCTTCCTGAATATACTGCCCAGTGAATCGAGTGAACTGTCCCAGGAGTTTGGGTCAGAGCTGGGCTGCGCTCAGGGCTCCCACGCACCCCAGAGAAGCCAATGCTCAGAGTTGCCCGGCCTCCCCCCACCTTGGAGGAAGAAGCGATGGAATAGTAGCGCGCTTGCAGCCGAGGCAGCAGCTCACACAGGTGGTCGATGGGGGGCCGCAGGGATGGGTAGTCCTGCAGGATGGCTAGGATGTGCCTCCGAGCCTCTACCACCCAGCTCAGGTACAGCTCCTGGGGAAAACAGAACTTGGGGTGAGACACGAGTGAGGGGACACAGTGGTTCCAGGGGACAGGGCTGAATTTGGACTGAAGCCACTTAGAGAGTGACTGGGTGGAGTGGCCTAGGGGATACTAGATGGGAGCTGCAGCCCAGGGCTGAAGTGGTGGCAGTCTGGGTGCTGGGGGTGAGAGCGGCAGGCTCACCTTGCCCTCACCCGAGGAGGAGGCCATCTTGCGCAGGTGTTCCTGCTCCGAGGGATCCGAGGCATACTGCGCCAGCTCGTAGAGCACATTGGTGCGCGGTGGGTTGGTGATGTCTAAATAGTAGGTGAGGGCTGTGCGGTACGAGGTGGGGCAGGGGAATGGGTGCTTCTTGTTGGATTCCTCTGCAAGGACAGAGAAGGCAGGATTTGGTGAGTGGGGTGCCATGGGAAGGAGGGGAGGGAAAAGGCTGCTATGCAGGAAGCAGGGAGCCCAGCTGGCACTGGAAGCAAGGACAGCTCTGTGGTGCTTCCTTTGCCCTAGGGCTGAGCCTCAGGCTTTCAGCCAGCCTCAAGCTTCAGGCTAGACAGGTAGTACTCATCAGAGGTGGGGTCTTGCTGGGGAAGGCCTGGCACTCACTGTTGCCACTCCAAGAGAGTCTGAGTCCCTAAGTAGCTCAGAGGGCTGCAGAGGCAGGGGCTCCCCCAGTGTGGCCTGCCTGCCTGTGGGCTGGGCCTGGTCTGTGGGGACCCCAGGCTCATGACCATGAGATGCCAACACTGGGGCTTTCAGCTGTGATGGCAGGACCCCTTCAGGTCAGTTTTTATGCTTGGGCAAACGCCCCACCGCCAGCCCTTGCTGCAGCTTTCTGCTGCCACTAGTCAATGGGCCAGGTTTACTGACTTCCTCCCTCCAGTTAGGCTAGAGCAGGACAGAGAGCAGGGCCCAGCTTGGGAGCTGCCAAAAAGCATCTCCCCCTCTTAGAGGCATGACTGTGGGGGTGTTTATGCCTGTGCAGATGAACCTCTGCAGAACTGCCCAGAGGGTTGCTGAGGACACACAGCAGGCCTGGTGCAGGAAGGGCTCAGCATTTTAGGGTTTTGGGCCTATTTTTTGGGGGGTTTTGAACTCCTTACTAAAGCATAACCTATATGAAGTATACAAGTTATACGTGTATAGCTTAATGGATTTTCGCAAACTGAACATCCTTGTGTATCCAGCACCCAGATCAAAAAGCTGGGTGTTCCCAGTATCCTAGAGCCCTCTGTGCTGAGCCTGGAAACGGCTCAGGCTTCACACTACAGGGAAGGGCTGTGTGAGTGCATCTTTTCTAAAGCTACACATCTGCCTTGGGGAGTTCTGAGATTCTGCACCTCTTTCTGAACAGCTCTCAGCAGTAAAGGGCCCCCCACAGGGGGTAAGATTCTCCTGGGGGGAGAGTGAGAACACCACAATCTTCCCAGCAAGGTGTCATCTCTGATGGTAGAGGAACATGCCCCACAGAACGAGAGACCAACCCAGTACGTGTCCACTGTGCCTCCACTGCTGGCATGACTAATATAAAGCAGCCCCCTTTCATGCTATTCCTTTCAAGGGCTGATTCTGGAGCTGGTGAGAAGGAGCAGCCAGGCTAGGATGACCAAGGATGAGAAGGAGTAGGGCACCGCCAGGTAGGGCTGGGCCCAGGTGGGTGGTCAGTGGGGGATGCCAAGGGGTCACAGCAAGAAGCCAGAGCCAGGCAGTCCTTTGAAGCCTTGGGAAAATCCTGTACCATATTTAGTGCCTCTTGCATTCTGTGCACCCTGAATGGACCTGGAGGGCTATTGCAGTTACTGACTTTGATCCCTGAATTTACAGGTGTGGAGACACAGGCCCTGGAGCAGGAGGAAGGCAGCCCCAGGCCCTCAGTGGCCAGTCATGGTAGAGCCAGGCCTGAGACCAGGGCCCTGGCCTGCAGTACCCTCTTCACAAGACATAGGCACTAGTTAGGCACCCGCCCCCGAAAAGGCTATGTCAGTGAGGGGATGGAGGGAACACCAAGGTAGAGGGTCAGAACCTATAGCTACTTTTGTTCCCTGCCCCCCCAGTTTGATACAGGACCAGTAACTGTGGCATGTCGGGTATAAGGGTCCTCTCAGGTACCAGGGCTTCAGGCCTAAGCAGCTTAACCTACGGGCCTTGCCAAGGGACCTATTCCTGCCAGCTGCTTCAGGCCCAGACAGGCAAGGGGGGGGTATGGAAGTGGCCTTGATTCTAGAACTCACCATCGAGATTGTTCAGGGACATGACAACATCCAGGTCAGCACCCAGGATCTCACCAATCTGGTTAACCAGGGAAGAGTCATTGGCTGGATAAACAGCTACATGGTCACCAGATTCATACCTAGGGGAGAGATGTAAGGCTCAGAAGGAGAGTGGGAGGCCTCTGTACCTGGATCAGGAGGCCTTGAGTGAAGGTGTGGGAGAGGGGGTGGCAGTAGCTGGTACCTGATTTTGGAATCTGAGATGTCTAATTCCAGGTGCATGAGGTGTCGCTCAGTTCCCTGGTTCAGCTTCCGGTTGGTGGTGACGACAGCCAAGAATGGATTCTTGGCATCAAAGGGGCTGGGTGGGGAGGAGAGCAGCTCAGTGATTGGCCAGGTCTTCAGTCTGAATCTCCCTGCCCCAAAGGGACCCTTCTGGTTTCACAGAACACAGAGAACCTCAGAGCTGGCCTCCAAGGGCCATGAGGAAACCTCTCTAATTATGTAAAGGGTACTCCAAGCCTGATCCTATGTAGTGCTCCTGACAACTCCACAAAGTGAGCAGAGCTAGGTTATCAATGTCTCCATTTACAGATATGGAAACTGAGGTTGGGCCCTAAAAACCTGCGAGACCCTCCACACTGAATCCATTGGTGAGCTGAGTGCAAAGGAGGACTGGGCTCTTAAAGGTGGCTTCCCAAGACAGAAAAGGTGCTTGGGTCCCCGAGTGACTGTGTGGAGCAGAGCTGCTTCACCCAACGTGCCCTAGTACAACATGAATAGGAGATAAACTTTTATTCCGTAAAGTCACTAAAATGTTGGGGCTTCCTGTTACAGTAGGACTCCAGCAGGGCTGACTATAACAGAGCTACTGGTCTTGAATCCTGGTGGTACAAGGATTTCCTGGGCGGCTCCAGGAGGAATCTGGACAGCACGTGGGTGGAAGGCAAATCAGGGGCCCAAGAGAGGAATATTATATTTTTCGACACAAAGTCCAAATATTGAGGGAAAATTTAAGGAAATATGCTTTTTTGCCAAAGTT